TTCGCCTTGCCGAGTGATCGGCCTCAAACCGGGGCAGGCCGGAGCGGGCGGGCGAGCGGGTTCACCGCCGGCCCAGGATCCCCGAAGGCCGCGCTTGGCGTGTGGCAGCTCGACCTCGAAGGCCCGTGGGAGCTGCAGGGCGAAGTGCGTTTGTGACTCGGTGGTGTAACACTGCGGCTTCGTGGGGTTGGTCAGAGATCGGTAGCGCAGCGCGGAGCAAAGCACAGCGTAGTTTTAGATGAAGATACCCGACGCCAGCATTCATGAGGAGAAGTGGGAGCGTAGTGTGAGATGCTTCTCCAAAATCCTCACCGAAGACTGGGGCACACCATTTTACCTGTCTGTGCCCATCCTGGCCACGCCAAGCTTGCATGTGTCCGAGAGGTGACATAGTTGGCAGTATGTCCTGCCCTGCCCTCTCACTTGTTGGTTGTGCTACCATCTTGAGTTGTTCGAGCTGAACCACTAATAACGGCAGCATTTGATTCATCCTCACTCTCAATAACTTAGATAACGTAAGATCTTTTAATTATGAGACAAAGCACATTTCAGGAATCCTGTGAAATGTATACTACATTTTGTAAAACATTACATTAGAATGGGCAACATTCTTCAAAAATAGATTGCACCTCTGAATACAAGCCAGGAAACTAGAGCAAGGTTATGTAATGCATTGCACACAGAATAAACATTTTTCAGAACAGAAAATACAAGATACCTGTTTTAATTGAGCTATGATTGTGTTGCTAAAAAAAACTTCATAAAAACCTATATAGTAAAATACTGTATTAAAATATAGTGCAGCATATAAAAGCAGTAGATGGGAGATCAGTGAAGAAAAAATTGAGTTTCACTATATTTTTACATCTATGTAGGGGCTGTTGTGTTATATATTCTATATATTAAAATCACAGCAACATCACAATTCATTGATATCAATGTAAAAAGGACTTTAATTAATTTTTATAGCAAATTTAATATTTTGCCTAGTAATTATTAGTGTTTATGTTACTTAACAGGCATTTGCTATTAATCACTTACGAGGACCCAGACTAGTGCCGCGTTGCTTCTGTTTTTTTACAGTCTGTTGGATTCTTCTGAGTATAAAAGTGCTAAGAAGCAGGGTATGTATTGCCTTTCTCTGTGTATACATCTATGTATGGTGAGAGTTGACAAACTTCTAACCTTCCAAAGTTGTTGAAAAGTAGGTGACTGGATGCTTTAGTTCACAATGTACTGAGATTAGATGGTTCTGAAAGACTGAATAGGAAAACAATCTGCAGCATGACTGGGGGAAAAACTTGTCTGAATCAGCATCCAAACTTAAACACCAGTCTTTTTACCTTTTGTATAGAACTATAACTAGAGTAGTGTGACTGCATGACAGTAGTACTGCTATGAAATACTTACATTTGGGTGAGATGATCCTACTGAAGGGTATCTGCCAGGGAAAAGACCACGTAAATCACAGGAAAGGGACAGAAAAAGAGATTAAATTATAAAGCATTTCAGTTTATGATTTTTTTTTTTAAAACTCATGGCTCAGGTGAGGTGACAGCTCTGTAGACCCTAAACAAATTAATTTCTCTTCAAGGAAAGGATTTCTTAGATAGTGTAGCACTTTCCACTAGGGAAAAGAAAAACAGAATGTGGTTGAGACTTATCTGAAGTCTCACAGCCTAAGGGCTGAGTAAACCCTGGTGCTATCCTTATTTTGGCTGGAAAAGTTACTATGCCCAAGCCCAGCCTTGGAGCTTGTCACAACTCTCCTTGTTAGAAGCAATCCATTAGATAGCAGGGTTCTGTTGTTTAAGCTGTCAAATAGGGGAAGGGCGTTAGGGAGCACTCACGTAAGTGCTCAGCCATCGTCTGTAGGACTAACAGTAATCACAGCCAAGGGTAAGGACTCAGAGGAATTACTTTAGTTATTATTTTAGTTGGCCCAGGTTCAGCCAGATGAGTCTGTATAGTCAGATGTTCAGTGCATCTTGTGCATCTAGAAGAGGAAGGGATTCAGATTAGTACTTTGAATGTTTCTGACCACCACAAAATAAACCGTGGCAGAAAAATGAGAATTTTCCAAGCATGTCTGTAAAATACAACATTTTGTAGAAGCCCGTTTACCTGTTAATTTTTTACGTTCGTGTGTTTGGCTTAGAAGGCAAAAAGGCTATTTTTCTAACGCATAGCAATTCCGCCCTGTGATCTGAAACTCTCCAACTTTTTCCATCACTAGTAATGATGAATTCTAATTACATCTTAGTTGACAACTTTGTTGAGGAACGGCTGACTAGAACCCATTCCTGTCCTAAATAGGCGTTTTGGCTCTGAAGGGATGACAGAAATAGAAAAGATAGATAGTTTTGTCACTGAAGTGCAACACAGTGTGTTTATTTTCAGTGGCTTTCTTAACTGTGAGAGGCTTCCTGCCTCTCCTCTCCCTCCCCCTGCTACTGCTTTATATCTTCACGTGTACCTTGGCCTTTCATTTGCAAAGCTGAGCTGCATAGGACAAAGTAGGATCCTCTGTTGTTGATACGCATTGCCAAATCACCCCCCCGCATAAGTACTGAGTGTTTTCCTCAAGATGCAGAATAGGAAGGGTAGCTTATTGTACATCCCTTCTCAGAATTGTTTATATAAATGGAATATCTTTAATACAAGTGTTTACAGAGATGCCAAGGCTTTATTCTGGTTTTGTTGTGCTTTAGGTAACTTAAATTTACCATTAAAGGCATGTATATATGAACACATTGGCAAATTAAGCCTCAAGAAAATACGGAAATGTAGTTGAGCTTAGCAGCATCTAATACTCCTGGACCCTTACAAGCGTTATTACATATTCAGACTTTTTGGTTGAGCAAACAAGTCTTCTGCCTACCATAGGCGCTAAGGTTATGATTTTCCTCTGCTACACGGGATTGTGTTGCTATCAAACCAGTGTTGCAAATAGTGCGTAGAGCTCATGGAAGCACACAAGTGGCTTAAACTAAGGTATTACTTGCTAAATGCTTTTTGAATAGCTTTCCTCGTGCTTCAGTTTGTTCATTGTTAGACACTAAACCAGTTGCTGATTAGACAAAAATAAACCCAAAACAGCAGTATTGAGGATTGCTTATTAGCTGCTTTTCATTCTGCAACTTAAGAAAAGACAGATTTTAAGTTAACTTGCCATAGACTTTCTTTTTTAGGTAGAAAACTACATTTACTGTAACATGAATAAAAAATAAAAATGGGATTAGTTTAAAATTGATCTTTTTCCTGCTGACCTCCTAATGGGAACTAGAGAAGGCTCTTCATGCATGTGTCTTTCAGAGTCTGTATTTGCTTTGGAAAAATTCAGGGAGTTGTGGATCACAGAGACTGAAAAGCACCAAGACTGTTTTGGGACATATGTTTTCTTGGGTAAGAATTACCAAAGAGCAAATACAATTCAAAAGTCAGTAACTGAACTTGAAGACTGCGGGCCATCAATATATAGCATCAGTGCATCTCTCGGCATGGTCTTTCAACTTAACTGCTATTCAAGATTTAATTCCTTCATGATAGTACTAACACTGTGGTGACAAATACAGAATTCTCATATTGTGAGAATAACGTGGCATTTCTATAGTATTTCTTAAGCATTGCACAGCCATTGACTGTCTCAGTCAGTCCTTGTTCTGTATAAGTAGGTATTTTCCCAGCTTGGGAAGTCAGAAAGGCTGCATGGGGAGCCCATGTTGGAGAGAGTGCCCCAGCCTTCCGGACTCACTAGTTCTTTATGTCTTTCTAAGAAAAGCTTAGTAATCCAAATTTTCTGCATTTTGTATGGATTTTTGCTTTTTTGTTACTACTATGAAAGCATTTTTAACCTTACCTACCTGCATTTTATTGGAGGAATGCAGATCTGAATTGCACTCAACATTTTTATGAATGTTGAAAGAAGCTGCACTGTACGAGACAAGTTAGTCTATTTATTACACATGTGGAGTTGGAATACAGTGAATCCATAATCCATCAGGAGAGGTATTTTCATGATAGAAAGACAGATAAATGCAGAAGTACTGTCTAATGTAATTCTTTTGGCAATTCTCTGTTTCAGCATTGATAAAATAAGTTCTACCACTACTTGTCTACTAAATATTGTGTCCAGATAATTTTAGGAAATGCTACTTTTGCATACATCCCCCATCACCAAATGCGGGAGAAACTGCAAATTTGCGAGCTGCTTTTAACTTTTCCCAAAGACATTTTGGTATATCATGTAAAAGATCTATGAATGAATGGTAAAGTTAATTGGAAAGGGAGACAAAGCAAGGAGATCAGTGGAACTATGTATGAAGCTAGAATACTTTTAAACAGGACACAGTTATTTCAAGCACCAACATAGATAGATTTAAGGTTTAGAAACAATATGCACGTGGTCATTCAGGAATTTAAAAACAACATACTCAGTTCAAACACTGTTAAAAGTCTCAGTTGCAGTCCATATATAATGGTAAATTTAAATTCCTGGCACTACTTGTTGCTCAAGCTCCACCCACCCCACCTGGTTTTTTCAGTCTAGATTTATGGCATACACCATGGTGGATCTGTGCTGGAAGCTGGCCGTCTCCTTTTTTTGCTGTCAAGTTGTCTCAGGAGGAGTTACGAAGGAGGGACATTATGTTGCTGCCGTGTATGAACACGAGTCCATACTGACTCCTAACCCAACAGCCCTGGTTGATCGACAGTCTGCGCTGGAACTCATGGGCAGAAACCTAGACATCTATGAACAGCAAGTAGTGGCTGCTGCACGACAGGTATGCCGCAGCTTAGTAGCAGTTGCGTGTGTCCTATGTATATATAGAGTAAGTGCTATTTGAGGATAATCTTTCACATTTGTGTTCCCAGGCAACTAAAGCCGTATTTATATACATAAGTATGGTCTGGTTTTTCAGACATTCTGACCTGCCAGCACTCTGAAAAAAATCAGGCCAATTAGCAGCTCGCCTAACTTCAGTTATTCCAAGCTTGGAAAAACACGCCTATAGTTATTTAGTATAGGGAAATTAATTTTCTATTTCGATCTGAATACCTAGCTCCTTTCTGTTTTCTTAAATGGAATGTTTTTATTGAAAGATTGTCTTACAGGCGGCTGTCTTTGTGTTTGATTTTATTCCAGTGCTCTCAGTGGAAATTCCTGAATGTTTCTAAAATCTAAGGAAGTTAAATGAATGTTAAATGAATGTTCCACCATTAACAACTTCGTGGAAGTAAAGTTTTCCATTCCTTTCTCCTACCCTCCACGGAATGGTTTTCAGTCTAAATATAATTAGAGGAAAGAGACTAGTATTTCTGGCTGTTCTTATGCACAGCCTTCTTTCCTTCCCTTCCCAAGAAAACCCAAAGCTGTTTCTAGTCAGAGGCGGCAGGCATTACTGTCCCTATGCAGAGAAGGGGAAGAAGACTTGCAAGTTTCACAAAATTAGAAGAATTACAATTTTTATATAATTTGAAAAAGTTGTTATTTGTTTGTTTGTTTTTTGTTTTGTTTTGTTTTTTTTTTGAGAATGATGACTAGGCATCACAGTCCAGAAGCATCGTAGCTACTTTTATGCAGTACTGCATCCAAGACACAGAAATTATCCCAAAGCCATAACACAGATAACACATTTGAACTGACTTTTGAACAGTCACAGGTATTTGAGTGACTGATGCTGTGTCTGATTTAAGAGGAATCCACCACATGTTTAGGAACAGATCTCCCTGAACTTCAGGTAGAGCCAGCCTAGCTCTGGCATGGCTACATTTCTACTAGAATCTGCATTGCTTCCACAGTCAAGCTGTTTCTGAAAACAATACTTCCAGTACCCTATACAACCCTGTATACTTAACCAAGGTATATAGCCCGGACTAAGTGATGCTGCATGTTTGATACAGATACAGTACCTTTGACAGAGTTCATCTGCAAATGGCGTAATTCTAAAAAAAAAAAAAAAAAAAAGACAAATTTTAACATCAGTCTTTAACCTGAATGATGAATGGAAACTACTTTTGGTAAGAATTTAGTTGAAGTCTGGTCTTATTTGCATGCCCTTAAAATAATGTCAAACAGGTTATTTTTCAAGCTAAAGGTATGCATCAGGTTAAATAAGCTTTTTTATACACATAGTTACACCTACTATGAAGTCAAAGAAAAGATATTTTTCAAACTACATTAGTCTCAAAACATACTTGGGCTATTCTTAACTTTCTTTAGCTCTTTTTACCCATGAGATTCCCTTTTTTCCCTTCATATTTAGGTTGGATTTGCTTTGCCTACAAAACATGCCTTTGTTTTACATACAGGGAGCACAGATCATTGTTTTTCCTGAAGATGGAATCCATGGCTTCAACTTCACCAGAAGCTCCATTTATCCTTACTTAGATTTCGTTCTGCATTCACACTCTGTGAAGTGGAATCCATGCAGAGAGCCATATTTGTTCAATGACACAGAGGTAAATGTAGGAATGATTTCTGCAGAGAGGTGGAATAACTGAATGCTAGATTTGTGCTCCAAGTGGGAAACTAGCTGTAGTAGTTTTGCTTGGGGAAGTAAGCAAGAGTTAACAGCTCGTAGTACCAGATTCTGTTTTCATGAACTCTCGGTTTATGCTGGTTTCATTCTTGGCAGAGGAGGGTTTTAGATATATACATGCAAGAAGATTAGCTTGTTTATGAGCCATCTGGATTTGTCATCTCCTCCTCTCCAACCTCTGAAATGGTAATTACTCTCTAATAAGATACATTGTGTGTGATTTTATTTTGAACAACATTGTTTTATATAAAACAACATAGCAGTATCTTCACTTTTGATGCATTCTTGTTACTCAGTTTTAATGACTTAATTACATCAGAACATTCTGACTCAGTGATTGTGTGTAAAATGTGCACAAGTAACAGGACTTGACCTGCTATAATGTAATAGAAGTCACAGCTTAGCACAGACATAGTGTGATTACAGAAGATGTGACCTGCAGGTTACAAGATAGTATTTTCATGAACTGGTCTGAACCCAAAATGAAAATAACCATGCTTAGTAATACAAACTATCTATTCCTATTAAGGTTACAGTAGTCAATATAATGAAAGTAAGTAATCATCCATGTGCCTACTAAGCACAATTTGTGTGCAAACCTCAATTGCATTTGTAAATGGTGACCTACTTTGGCCTATGAAGCTTTACCACCAATGATCATGCACAAGCACGCAAGAACTTCATTTGCCATTCAGATCCTGTTTGGAGACTGCAGCACCGGCAGTCTTTGGTACAGCTCTCTGTGGTGTGGAAGAAACATCCCAGTAATGCTGTCATCTGTAACTTTTTGTATTTCTTTTCTATAACTAAGCAAAATCTATTCGTTTACATCTCTGCTTCTCTAAGTTATAGCTAGTAATCACTTTTTTAAAATTTGGAGTAAAAATACCTAGTTGCAGGCACAAGCCATTGCAGGTGCAAACGATCATTCTTAGACATTTGCTCAGCTAAAGGCACACACAGATCAGTTATGCTGCCTTGCCAAAGCTTTCAGTTGGCCTATGGTGTTTTAAAGCCATTAGTGCTCCTGCAACAGTCAGAAGGGTCTGACAATTAACGCTCTTGAAATAGAGAGATTATTTATTTACTTACTTCTCAGGAAACAAAACCCAGAGAATTTTTTCAAAGCTATTTTGCAATTAGTATCTGAAATACCTTTCAGTCTAGAAAACTACAGGTTCCAATAGCTTAGATCATAAAAATCATCAGTACCTTTAAATCTTACAGATAAGGCCAAATGCATTCAATTTCTAGTTGAAAATAATAATTTGAAAAGTATTAAATATGTCATAGCTGCTGAAGTAAAACTTATCCCTCCATATTCTGAAGTGCTTACATTTCCCCGTGCTGTTTTCCAGATTCTTCAGCGTCTGAGCTGCATGGCGCTGAAGAACAAGATATTCCTTGTGGCAAACTTAGGAACTAAGCAACCCTGTGAGCACACTGATCCCTACTGTCCATCGGATGGAAGATACCAGTTCAATACCAACGTGGCATTCAATGACGACGGTATGCTGGTAGCCACGTATCGCAAATACAATCTGTATTTTGAATACGCTTTTGATACCACTCCAGAGCCTGACTATACATTCTTTGATACCCCTTTTGCTGGCAAGTTTGGTATGTTCACTTGCTTTGATATACTCTTTTTTGAGCCTGCAGTGAACCTCATCAGACAACACAATTTGAAACAAGTTGTCTATCCAACTGCCTGGATGAACCAGCTCCCGCTCCTGTCTGCTGTAGAGTTTCAACAAGCTTTTGCAACAGCTTTCAACATCAATATTTTAGCAGCTAATATCCACCACCCTACCTTGGGCATGACAGGGAGTGGCATATACACTCCAGTCAAGTCGTTCATCTACCACAACATGGAAAGTTATGGTGGCAAGCTCATAGTAGCAGAAATTCCTGTGATTACCACAGATTACAAAAACAATTTGGAGAGTAACGAAAGATTCAGAGAGAACTTACATCACTCATGCAAGACTTTTACAAGCATCCCAATAGATGATCAAGTTTGCTTTAAGGAGGGACAAGAGGCGCCTGGCAGAGTATCAGAAAAAGGAGATGAACAGTTACCTCCCCTATTTTATGCAGAAATGATGTATGACAATTTTACTTTCGTTCCTGTATGGGGGGAAAAAGGAGAGCTCCAGGTTTGTGCCAATACCCTTTGTTGTTACTTAAATTATCAGAGAACTGTTTTAACCGAAGAATTATACGCTTTGGGAGTTTTTGATGGGCTCCATACAGTGCATGGCACATACTATGTCCAGGCCTGTGCATTAGTAAAGTGTGGTGGTCTCAGCTTTAGCACTTGTGGACAGGAGGTTACAGATGCCACTGCTCTGATAGATTTCCAGCTATGGGGAAATATGAGTACCCCTTATATCTTTCCTTTACTGCTGACATCTGGTATTACCTTGGACTTTGCTGATCACATGGGCTGGAAAAACAACCACTATTTCATAAGCAAAAATAGAACATCTTCTGGCCTACTGACAGCTGCTGTGTATGGACGATGGTATGAAAAGGACTAGCACAGATACTTGACTGAATCAGAAAACAACTGCCCATATTTTCAGAGTATGTATCTTAACATAAGTTGTTGAACATCTGTACTGCCTAGAGCTTCAGGTATGTTTGTTACATGACTGACTGATTAGATTCCACATTTGAAATGACAAGCCAAGCACTTCACCTAATAGGCTGTAAGTACAGTCTGTACCTTGGTAGCTTACGTCCTGCCAGAAGTAAAGCAACTGCCTTGCAAAGATAAAGGATTGTTGTAATGTGTTGAGATGTTTTATATTGGGGAAAATAATATTTCTCATTTCAACTGAATTTGCTCCTTTTAATTTAATCCTTTGGATTTCTGGGGTCCTGGCTAGGAGTATGGAAATGAATGGAACAGAAAACCATTGGAAAAGGAAGAAAAACTGGAAAGGGAACGGAGACACAAATACCGTGCATGACATGCATGAAAATATATCTGTATACATACATATAGCTCGTATAAGGTGAGGTTCTGATTTCTGGTTAGTGTGTTGTGATTTATTTTTTTTCTTAAGAGTCAAAAACTCCCAGCTGAAATCATTACCATTTACTGGCCACTCGGTTGTCTGTAATCCCATTAGAAAATTCAGTGAGTTTTCTCATATACTTTTAACAGTAACTGAACATCACACTTGTGAACGTCTACAAAACAGCTAGTCTGGGAAGAGGATATCAAGTGATTGTGAAAAACTAGACTGCATTGAGACATGATTTCCAGCCTACTGTGTAAGGAATTGTGTTTGAAGAAAACAATGAATATCAACGACTATGTTATTTACTGTTTAAGTACTTTAACTTTCCCTGTGTAAAAGAGAGGTCATTTCAAGACAGTTTTGACTTTAAGACATCTTACACATGGTTCATAAATTCATTCAACAAGAGCTGTGAAAAGCACAGAATGAATTGTGGGACAGCAAGGTTTTTACATAAATACTCGTGTACCAGATGGCAGGTTCCTGCTGCTAAATGAGTAAAACACACCATTGTTTCCAGAGCAATAACTAGATTAAGTGCTATAAATATTGTACTGCAGTGACAAACTGTTCTACTGCAGTGAAGGAATTGGGTGGAGAATATTCAAAGGCTATTAATTTGGGGTTAAATTCAGAGAAGATAATTTATTCTCAAGCATTATGATTTTGTGTGGTCTTATGGGCTGTTACGACTTCATCTGCCTAATAGCTGTTGAGTAACGGAATAAACACAACCGTTCCGCTGGTGAGTCCTCGCGTTCCAGTTGCTCAGTCTGTTAGTTGCATTGCAGTGGCCGGGAGGAGCAGTGAGGAGCAGAGCGCTAAGAGGAGAGCTGCGAATCTCCGTTTCGGTTGCCTGAGTCAGTTCCGAGATGTGTTCAAACTGGAATCACTACGGCAGGTACAAGTATGTGCACTGAAAGGTGCTCAATAAGCTCCTCCTTTGAATGAACTTGCTTTCTGGTTTCAGAAAGCAAAACAACCAAGAAATTGCTGAATTTCTACCTCAAGGTTTATTTATTAATATATCAATATTTAAGATAAATATTTACACAAAATAAGTATATAAATATTTATGATCTTGGGCTCTATCAAACCTTCCTTCTCCAAGCTGTATTACTGTGAGCCAGGACCTAGTCACACTCAGTTTTGATACAGCAGCACAACAGGTTTGTTTATCCTGCAGCATATATTGGACTGAAATACAGAGAGGGGAACGTCTGTCTCTTGTTAGACATAAACTTGCTGATGCAAAAGTAGGCCATCCCACTGCAGGGTTATTAAAAACCATTAATTCTTTGGCAGCCACGGTGGTGGTCTTGCTGAATGCTGCACAAATTCCAGAACATACAGGGTAAAGAAGAAAAGCATTTGTGGTGCTTATTGTCCTTCTGGTTCTAGTACCATCATGACCAAGTCTAAAAGAAAGGAACAACGAACGGCTGGAGGATTTCAGCTCTCAGGACAAGCCTTCCCCACCTCACTTTGTAAACTGAAAAACACGCATCCTCGTGCACGAAATACTGTTTCAGATTTAGTTCCAAAGCAGACTGTCATTATCACAACAAATGAGGCTAAGCAAGTAACTAGCATTACTTGTATTTGCTATGCTTAAGGAAGAAAAAAGCATTTATCTGGGAGATACTTGCAAAGTGTGTTCCACAGAGCTATTCTAATTTTGGGTATGGCGAAACTATTCGAAAACAAGCCATTCTGGCCCTACCGTTTCCATGGGTTTGCTCTGTCTCTTCCCTGAGGAGAGCAGGCGCAAGTATTAGAGTGTGTTTTCATACCTTGTCCCCTTCACCCAAAAAAGCAGCCTTTAGCAAAGAGACGCTGGAAGAAGTGGAACAGACAGTACCAGACATGCAGGAGAATTACCAATAACTAACTCCCCCGCCCCCCCGCCGCCATCCCGATCTTTGAGTGACAACAGACGTATCCGTTCTGAAACGGGGTGACCAGGCCGTAGCCTCCAACGCTCACCACCACCGACGGGCGGGTTTTGGAGGTGTGCGCTGGAACAGCAATCCCAGCATTGCCCTGCCGAATGCAGCCCCGCTCCCAAACAAGCCAGCGTTCATGCGAGTGAAGCTATGTACCATTTACTGAGGAGGTGCGAGAAGCCTTCAGCAAGGCTGATGTTTGCACCGGCAGACTCCTAACACCCTGTAATGCATCCAATATCTCTTCAATGGGTACGAACGGTTTTATTAAAGCTTCCTGAATGGTTTCTGTCTGTGAGCACAACCAGAAACAAACCAGAACACAAGGATCTTCTGACATACGGGAAGTACAGCTTAAGACTAGAAGAGTTTGAACTCACTCAGTCTGTTGACTTAAATTAAATCAGGATTTGGAAATCTGTACCGAGACCAAGGGAACATCCAGTCTGAGACAGGCAGCGGGGACGATGTCTTTAAAGGGCCCTGATGCTTCCCCTGGGATGGAAAGACAACCAGAGGAACTGTCTGCCCAGGCAGGGGTAACAGCACACGAGTCAGAGGTGTTGGGGGTTTCTTCGTAAGGGATCTGCTGCTTTGGGATTCACACGGCCAGTGAGTTTTCCAGGTGGATGTAGGGATACTCTGCTTACAGCGAGAGAAACCCCCAGAAAGCACACTGAAGGAACGTGTGGCAAACAGGACGCTGGAGTTCAGCTACTGAGAGGCATGTGAACAGGCTGAGGAACTGGTGACCAACTGGGACAATCTGTTCAGAGCAGAGATCTTCACAATGCAGAGGTGGGCATAAGCTCGTTTAGGTAGATCTCTACAGGTGAACTGAAGTGACTGAGCTTCAAGAGCCTCTTGCAATCAACACGGAAGCAAGGAAGCCATCGTCGTGCGGCACAGCATGGTCTTGCCCAGGCTGTGACCCGTCTGGCAGCATCAGGTATTTTAACGAACACCCCAGCATCACAGAAAACCCAAGAGGACCAATGCAAAAAACTGACTGACCTCTTTGGCTGTTTCAGACATACCATCTAAAGCAAGTAAAAGAGCCAAGTGAAGAAAAGTACATTTTCAGAGCTGTTACAGAAAGAGGACCTGAACCTAAACAACACTACTGACACACACACACAGATTCAGTGGCTAGAAAGAACTACCCCCTCCTCCTCTATTTCTGTAGGTTAAAAAAAAAAACCCAAAAGTGGTGACAAATGCTGTTCCTGAAAACCCCAAATATTCACAGGTTGAAGTGAGAGTTATTGCTCCGTCAAGTTTTGAATGGTCAACGGCAATGGAAGTACTTCAGAGATTCACTGCGCTCTCCTTCCTCCTTCCCCTGGGAGAGCAGGCGTAGGCCACGCAGGTCAGAAGTCAAAGATGATAGCGGTACCCACAGCAGATCAAACAAACTCTTGGTAGAAGAGATTAAAAGGGTTGAATTCAGTAAAATGTTAATAGACTCTAACAAGGATTTTTAAGATTTTAAGAAAACTATGCAGACAGCTTGAATAACAAAGTTTGGCAAGGGATAGGAAATAGATGACAGGATAGGATGTGAATCCTTAGATTTTGCTTTAAAACTATTTAAGGTATCTAATACATTCTTTTAACATAAAAGAACATCTGAGCCCTCAGTATCTTAAGCTTTGTGAACTACATCAACTTGTTTTGTTCTGTTGTGAATCCGAATAGCAAAATTTCTGGTTGCTTCTATTGCAATTTTAATGAAAAAAAAAGAGAATGTAAGGTGTTTTTCTCCTCTTTAAACATTTAGTGACACTAACACTATTAAGACAGCTTGAAAGGCTCTTCAGGTTCCATATTATTCAACTATGTTTACAGTTCCATGGTGAAATATGGCAAGTTTCCTTTTCCAACCTCAGCTTGAAAATTCCTATAACATAGCATGGAATGGAGGGAGCTCAGTTTATCCTAATGTAAAATAAGAGTTATTATTTTATTTTTTTTATTTTATTTTTAATTTATTATTTTGTATTTTTTATACACAGCACCAGGGAGGCATGGATAATTTAGATGCTGCTTTATTTGAAGACAACTAACAGTGCTAAGGAGACTGGGACACTGGGTTGGAAAGAGTTGCAAGAAATCTTCAAGTCCCACAAGCAGGGACATTTGTCGTCTTCCCCTGTCAGGAACGTTCAGTTGTGAGGTGAGTTGTAGAGACAGGAAAAAGCTCACAGCTTGAAAATTTTAGTCACATCTGTAACTATTTTTCCCCCAGGGAAGGGCAACCAAAACACTCTTGTGATTTTCCTGGGCTCTAGATGACTGAACACCTGAAAGAAACGCGCTTTCCGAGGCTGCCATTTCAGACAGTTTTTCTCTTGGTAGGCATGTGAGGATACGTGGATCACACGAGAGACCTCGGTGACATTTACAACGTCCAGCCAGGCGTTTGCTTCTCCTATGAAGCAATAAAACGAAGGGGTTTTTGTGATAAGGCTTATAGATCACTATAAATACAATAATAGGATATTTTCTTAAGAATGACCAGTTGTTTTGCCATTTCAAATTAATGCACAGTGGTTCCTTTGCACTTAACAGTCTTCAAAACATATGGACATTACAGTGAGAAAAGGACTCCAGAAAAATAAAAAAGCCAATGCTATCAGCTTAACAAACAAACAAAGAGGCCTGTATTGCATCTCTTCACATTTAACATTTTGGGTTTCAGT